GGGGTTTCACCATGTTGACCAGGCTGGTCTTGAACTCCTGACCTCAAGTGATCCTCCTGCCTTGGCCTCCCAAAGTGTGGGGATTACAGGCGTGAGCCACCATGCCTGGCAACTTTCTTATCCATCACTGCTAATAAAGACCACCAGAAACCATTTTTCTTGAGCAGGCACAGCCAGCAATATACATTCACTGTCCTACCTCAGGGGCATACCAACTGTCTAGTTCTATCGCATAGTTTAGTTCTCATCATCATCATCATCTCCTTTAATAAGATATTAGACTGAATCATTACACTGATAAAATTATGCTGGTTAGAAAACCCATCAATGATAGACTGGATAAAGATACTGTGGTACATATATACCATGGAATACTATGCAGCCATAAAAAGGAACGAGATCATGTCCTTTGCAGGGACATGGATGGAGCTGGAAGCCATCATCCTCAGCAAACAAACACAGGAACCAAAAACCAAACACTGCATGTTCTCATTCATAAGGGGGAGCTGAACGATGAGAATGAAGGAGGGAGAGCATCAAGATAAATAACTCATGCATGCGGGGTTTAATACCTAGGTGATGGGTCGATAGGTGCAGTAAACCACCATGGTACACGTTTCTTTACCTGTGTAACAAACCTGCATGTGCTGTGCATGTATCCCAGAACATAAAATAAAATTAAACTAAATATCAAAAATAAAAATAAATTAAAATAAATTTTTTAAAAAGAAATTATGCTGTCTGGACCAGGAGAGCAAAAAGTAGCACCTAGTCCAGATTTATTAGTAACACATTTGCATGACAGAGGGTGAGAAGTAAATTCCACAAAAATATTGGAGCCTTCCACCTCAACACAATGTCTGAGTCCACTGGTATGGAGAATGTTGAGATATATCTTCTAAAGCAAAAGATAAATTGTTGCATCTGGCCCTTCTTACCACCAAAAGAACCGTGATATCTAGTAAGCGTCTTGGGTTTTTGTTGTTGTTGTTGTTGTTTTTTTGAGACAGAGTTTTGCTTTTTTGCCTAGGCTGGAGTGCAGTGGCATGATCTCGGCTCGCTGCAACCTCCGCCTTTCGATTTCAAGTGATTCTCCTGCCTCAGCCTCTCTAGTAGCTGGGATTACAGGTGCCCCCCTCACGCCCAGCTAATTTTTGTATTTTTAGTAGAGACGGAGTTTCCCCATGTTGGCCAGGCTGGTCTCGAACTCCTGACTGCGTGATCCGCCCACCTCGGCCTCCCAAAGTGCTGGGATTACAGGCGTGAGCCACCATGCCAGGCCCTACCTCTTGGATTTTGAAGGCAACATATTTCTCATTGGGTGTGCCCCATTAACCCATTTACTAAGTGACTCAAAAAGAGGCGGGGTGCAGTGGCTCACGCCTATAATCTCAGCACTTTGGGAGGCCGAGGTGGGCGGATCACGAGGTCAGGAGTTCGAGACCAGCCTGACCAACATGGCAAAACTCCATCTCTACTAAAAATACAAAAAATTAGCCGGGCGTGGTAGCGGGTGTCTGTAATCCCAGCTACTCAGGATGCAGGAGAACTGCTTGAACCTGGGAGGCTGAGGTTGTAGTGAGCCGAGATGGCGCCATTGCACTCCAGCCCGGGCAACAGTGGGAGACTCTGTCCCAAAAAAAAGTTTTGAGGGGAGTGCGGCATAGGGGAAGGCTCTGCAACAAATCCAGGCCCTGCCCAAGCTCCTCTGCCACCTGGGCCGTATGATCCAGTGGAACAGATGGTGCTTGAAGTGTCAGTGGCAGGTGGAGATGCTGTTTGGAGGTTTTGGCAAGCTTCTTCGTGTAGGTGAATTGGGGCTTAGCCACTTAGGATTGTGGGGCAAACTCCTATCATCCTTCACAGATAGCTAGTCTCCTTTTGAAAAACATACATATATATATATGGTTTTTGTTTTTTTTTTTTTTTTTGCCGAGTGTAGTGGCTCACACCTGTAATCCCAGCACTTTGGGAAGCCAAGGTGGGCAGATCACCTGAGGTCAGCAGTTCGAGACCAGCCTGACCAACATGGTGAAACCCCATCTCTACTAAAAATTAAAAAATTAGCCGGGCATGGAGACACCTGCCTGTAATTCCAGCTACTTGGGAGGCTGAGGCAGGAGAGTCGCTTGAACCCAGGAGGTGCAGGTTGCAGTGAG